CCCCAAAACCCCAAAACCCCATTGGAATAATAAAACAAAACTTGGCAGATTTATAAATAAATTTAAATAAATTTTTATCACTAAAGTAACATATTTCCCTATGGAGAATAATCCGATCCAAAACTTTCTTCAAGAATGTGAAGATGTGCACCTTGATTTAAGAAGATCAATTTATCTTATTATTGAACTTAGAAAAAGATCTGCTAGTAAGTAAAAGTATTCAATCTCATTATCTATTTAAAAGCTCAAATAATGTTTAAAATTCTATTTAATCCAGACTCAACAAATTTTGACTGGGATATTAAATATATTTTATAACTTTAGTAATTGAAGAGGAGATTAGATTAGTCAAAGAAGACTTATTCAAGAGTAGAAATCATCAAAACAAATGTGAGACTGATGAAGAAAAGCTTGTGTTCATCAAGAAAGCCTAGTACGTGAGAGATCTCTATGAGAAGCTACAGGCTTTAGACCAGGAATGTGTTGATATTTCTGAAAGAAATTTGACTCTGGCTATCAAAAGTGGTATCTAAACTGAGAAAAAGTGCCAAGAAATGGTAAGTGGCACTGGAGATATGGCAATCATGCATTCCAAAGAGAAGATTGAAGACTTTGAAAGGAGAGCAAACAAGCTGATGCTTTTTCAATCTACACTTCAAAACACCTTTAACAGAAATGAAACTGAGAAAGGCAAAACTCCCGCCTCAACTAACTAACTCTAAGATTAGGGGGCTCCATAGATAAGGCCATAGACAAATGAAATTGCTTCAAATACTAATAATTAGTACCCCACTCAAGATAAAGTATAAATCAAGTCAGCTAAAACAAATAAAACTTGCTCTAAGCCTTCTCCACAAGATAGACTCAACAGATCAAATGGCAAGCTCAAAAGTTATGATCAAGCAAAGCAACAACATGCATAAGCTTTAAGTTAGTATTACATGAGCTAGACAAGTGGATCTGCTAATGAAGCTGGAAGTAATTGCAATACTTAGGGCAGAGACAGTTATATCAAACCCGAGGATGATGATATCATAATGGATGAAGAGGATGCTAATTAAAGCTTCAAGATACTAAGCACTTCCAGTTAAAACAAGGATTCTGTAGCATATTCAAACAAAAACAGCTAATATTGTTCTGGTAAGTAAATTAATGACAACTACAAAGAATATGAATATGTTAAGGATAGCAGCTAGGATGACTTCAAAACTATTAAAAGTGGAGGCAATACTGCTAGTTAGCATAGTCATGATGCACCAAAAATAAATTCTAATGCTTATCAGAAAGTATCTTATATTGAGATGTAGCACAAATGAATTTGATCATAAATTAAGTTGAATTATGATTTAACTATGCTTTTGGATTATATTATAAATTCATATATTTCTGAAATTATTATTATCTCTGTTGGGGTTTTGGGGTTTTGGGGTTTTGGGG